CACTGAAAGAAGAGGACAAATACAATCTGGATTACAATTTCTTCACACAAATTTCTCAGCAAAATAAAAATTAACCAAAATAATTGAGCAGTATGTTGACTTTTAAGTATTCTTGAATTTACTAGAAATGATTTATAGACTAATATGAGAGGATAAAAAAGTTTGATTAAAACTATTTCTTTAACAAATTTCTTTGGCAAAATAAACAAAGAAGGATTTATTGAATGTCGTGCAGACAATATCCTACCACTTTTTTTGCCTTTCAGATTTAACTGAATGTCATAAAAGGCTTCCTCTTTACTGGAACAATAATCTATGTGCTTACATCTTATATAGGACTGAAATACAAAGATTATATTTCAGTATATTAATCAATTCTACCAACATCAAGTATCCAATATGTTTCAATAGTGACAAATGACTAAATCACTTTAAAAAAAAATCAAGAGAAAGTATTTCTCACTCATGTTTCTAGTCATCATAATTCAACACTTACCAAAGTTTTACCCTCAAACAGCTTGGGAATTGTATTTTCTACTACAGTTGCTTTCATTTTACTTTCCATGTTTTCTAATAACTACAATACAAAAACAAATGTATATGCATACAAAGAAAACTTTTCATGAAAGAACAATTGACACAGGAAATGCACTTTCATGTATTTTCTGTCTTCATGTTTTAAGACCTGAAAACCTGATAATGACCGAACTTCTTGTCATTTTAACAGCTTTATAAAGTCCCTTACCACACGACAGAGTTCTTGTACATCATGCTGCATGAATGTGTCTAGTGTTTCCCACCTGTAAAAGACAAACAAACATCTAACAATGCTGAAATATTCTATAGTACATGAGAGCTGTAGAATTTGGATATTAAATCTGTCCCAACAACTTAATTGGCTATTGGGATATAAACAGGGTGGTGGAGTCAGATCAATGATTTAACTAAATAATGTTATGGCTGGAAAATAAAAATTATTGTTACAGATATAATAGGATACTAAGTAGATGATTATTTAGTTTTGTTGTTTAATCACATACAAAAAGCTCACCCAAAAGATTTTGTTAATTTTTTGGTTCCTACTGGTTTATCGCTGAATTGGAGTTCATAGAAGACACGTTGTAGTGCCAGAGGTACACTCCTCTCACCATCATCGGACTCCGTGGGCATCAGGTACACTGCCTGTAGTAAAAACAATCAAAACATGTACCATTATAATGCCGAGACTTGGTGTACCTTAATTTTACACTATATAACCATTTATGTTGTACAGGGACCAACAGAGTGGTAATCAAAGAAGATATCATGAAAATTGTGTAAAATTTACATATTCAAAAGTATAAATTATAAAAAAAAAAAAAAAAAAAAACCCATACCTTCCTTAATTTGTTAGTGAAAAACAAAGTTTGTAACAGGGAGTTCATGTAACATGTGGCGCCTTGATTCTTAAGTCCCACGTAACCCGTATGCTTCTTGGAGTCCCAACTGTAATAAAATAACAAGTTTATTACTTGGATAATGAGTTTTAAAAAATTACAAGGCATGATTTCAAAGATAATGAATCTTTGGACAAAATCTACATTTGCATATAGGTTTTCTACAATAGAGGATCACAGAATATGAGGTAATCAATAGAAAAATAAGCATGTTCTTGACATTTCTATTTTTCAAATTTAAACAAGAAATAATCTTAATTGTGAATTAGAAAAATAATTTCAAATCAACAGAGCACTTACCTAACTCCATGAGGAGCATCGGCCTTCACATGGACCTCCAGTGTTATCCTATCATCCACCACAAACCCTTTGTTAGGATCCAGCAGATCCTGTGTATCAAAAAAAAATTATTAAATTCTATACCATCTTTATTAACTTTAATTTTCAAGCAAGAAACTGATATACTCACATTCCATACAATGAAATTACTGTAACCCCAATCATTTTCTTTACTGTAAAACAAGTGTTGGATTTCTGGAAAAGAAAGCAAATGTTGATAAATCAGCCAGAAATTGTCATAAAATCATCAAATCCCATTACAATAGAAATATTCTTTCTTAATAGGAATAAGTGAAAATGAACTAGCATTTAAAATGTAATGTCATAAATCACTTTAGCAATACCTCTTTGAAATTAGCAATATTATGAACTCTCTATACTGCACACTACAGAGTTCTGATTATATGATATTTTTAAGCAGTTAGAACAATATGCCCTTGTATATAAAATAGACATCAATAGTTATCACTTGATTTGTAATCAAATCAAGTATTCCCTACATTCAAATATGCCACCATGAAAAGGTTTTTATTTGCAATTTAAACATATTTTCCTAAAAGAAGATTTAAGCTTGTTCTTTCATGTCTATAATTAATGATTAGCTAGTGTTTACAGTGGAAAGGGAGATTGAAACATGAAATCTTACTTTTTGTGTGACTTTCCGACTCATTGTTCTGGTTAATAAGCCTAAGAGTGGCTGAGGCATTACACGACCATGACCTAAGAAAAGGTAACATCAAAATAACTGCATTACAGAAGCAAACAAAGTTTAATCTTTTTATGTTGACAAAAAATTTATTTAAAAAAAAGTGCAAATTTAAATTATCTAAAAATGAAACAACTCGTAGATTTGTTACTGAGAGGAAAACTGTTTAAATTAACAGAGAAAACATGAAGTTCTTTAGAAATTGCTTTTCTTTTTCTTACACTTACACTGAATCTGATTCAGCATTACATTGAAGAAAAAAGCCCATAGTTTTTTGGTTGTGTCGGTCTGTGTTGGGTCTAGGTTGGCACATTATTTTCCTGAAATATGTTTTAAAATCGTGTACAAGTAAATAAATGAAAACTCTATTGAAGCCAATCTCATTCCAAATACACTTAAGCTTTTTTCAGTTTATTCAAGCTTTAATTTCATTATAATATAAGACTGGTTTTTAAAACATCATCAAATACATACCATGGAAGATTCCGAACCATACAAGGTGGACTGAGGGCGGTCTCTTTTAATTTACTTATGTTTTCAACAGTATATCGAAACGTAGCTTCTGATCGACACTCATCTGTAAACAGATACTCAAATTAAAAATCATGCAAAACATTTGGAAATATTTAAGCAGCAATCACATTGACTGGAAAGTGGAGCTAAAGATTTTAGCGAGAAGCAAACTAGAACTGTCAATATTAAATCTGTAGGAGAGTAGGAGACAAACTAGAAATCCCCAAACTCAAATTTGCTTCACTGTAATTCTGTGTACTTATCATAAATGCACCACTAACAAAATACTCTACTAAAGGTTGAGATTTTTTCTGGAAGGGGGGGGGGGGGGTTAGGGATTATTGAACAAGGAGAGAAGTATAAGTCTAAGACTTGTTCCACTGACCCTCCTCCATTTCGGCATCCTCCTGACTGGTGGCTCCGTTCCCGTGGATGTCTCCATTCACCTGAGTCATGTTGGCATCATCTCCGCCTTCCTTGTTCTCCTCTAGAAGACAAAATTAACAGTAAATATACACAAAACTTTATAATTATAATCCTCATTGGTGTCAATACAATAATCAGGATACAAAATATTAATAAATTATGATAAATTCCCCAGGAAAACAATTTTAGACCCATAAATATGATAAAGTTGATTTACTCCAACTATTCAAATAAGCCAATTTTATTAATGACATTATAATATCTTGATAGAGGCAACAATGTATTTCATGCACAAATTTGCAGAGTTGTATATATTGTATCATACCAGGATATGGGACATTCATTAAGAAAGTGTTCTGTCATACACGAAAATGAAATAGGGACTAATTCTCCCCATATGGAAAGAAAATCTTTTTTTGCAAATATGTGTTTCTTATACAGCTTAAAACCATCAAAGCTAAAAATAATGAGTGTGTCCTTATGCTTTTCGGCAATCGAATGTGCTTTTACATAAAAAATGTATCAAAATGAAAACTTTAGACAAAGCAGAGTTATGTAAATGCACATTAGCTATTTAAAACTGACTTGTAAGTGAAAGGCAAATCAAACAATGCCCAAAACATACCACCGAGATCATCTTCCTTAGAATGTTTTTTAGAATTTTTAATCATCATCCATGATAACACAGTTTTAAAAGATTCTAGAGCCATTGATTACACTGCAAATGTCTTTAATCCAATATATATATTTGATATATTTGCTATTCTGCAAAACTTCCTGTATTCACATATGCAGATACATTACAAGTACACCTGCAGTTCTATACTACATAAATAGCATCCTTCAGGATTAATTTGCGTACACGGTAGCTTACCCTAGTCATACATATACACAAATTGATTACATGAACAACAGGACGTTATTATTAATTGTGTGTAAATGTCAATTTACATGTGCAATGCAATGAGGAGTTTAGCTATTGCAAAATTTACACGGAGGTCTTACCATACACCTACAACAGTTAATCAAAGATTTATCTTTTAAAATGTATTAACACACCCTTCTTTTGATCAATATCCATTTCCACATCTTGTGTCTTATCTTTTTCACCATTGTCATTCACATGATTCATGGTGTTATTGGAATTATTTATAGTGACCGCTTTATTACGATCTCGCCCAGGAGATTGTGGACTGTTTGGCGGAACGGTCACTTTCGCCTGTTTTCTCACAATCTGCCCAATGTCTGCTGTATAAACCCCTCACAGGGGACCTACATACAAAATATCATGCCTTTCAAAAAAGGCATCGCAAAACTGATCTCGAATGAAAATAAACAAGATGGCGGACGCACGTTGAGGCAGTCTGGGATACTATAATGTACGGATGGCCAAAAAATGTAATTTGTCTTACCCTCTGCACGAGTGACTTTTGCAGTCATTGTATTTTCTTTAGTATCTTTCACAAATTTAAATAATGCTTATTCTTTTCATTCCCAGTGTAAAGCATCATTTTACGTTCCGTAAAACCGTCGTTTTTCGGAATCTTTCGTCACAATGTAACGTTTATACATGCGCAGACTTGACATCCGGTTTTGATTCAGAAGGACAGAGTATCAAGTAAACAAAATTAGTTGAATATATGGCAAATAGTTTAAGTGAGAGACGTTTATATTGATATCATTTAATTATAATGGAACACGAAGAAGATGAACATAATGATCGTGTGCCAGATAATTGGCTGAATAGCTTCGAAGAAGAATGTATTGAGGATCTTCATGGTGAAACCAATATGGAGGAAGCTCTTGAAACACAACGAGAGTTAGCTGAACAGAAATTGTGGTTGCAATTTCAGAACTCAGCAACAGCTATTGCTCAGTTGTATAAAGGTATAAATAGTAATTCAAAAAATAAATATTAAAATGCAAAATACCTGAAATGTAGTCTCCACCCTTCTAAGTACAGTTTAATACATAGGCTGTTACTGTATCACTATCATGTCTTTGCACTTGGTTTCAGCATATTCAGAACTAAGTATTTTGTAATTTTTAGAGTTTGACTGAATAAACTCATTAAAATAACAGAAATCGCTAAAATAAGCACTACTCGAAAATGGATAGCTGTATTTAACAAGAATATGTATGGGTTACCCCGTATCCAAAGATATTCGACTTTTAGATTTAATATGTTTAACAGTGTTTAATAACTTTTATAAAAAATAAACTGCGCTGTCTTAGTGTTTAGTTATGGAACTGGTGTAAATTTCGTGAGTCTGTAGCATTACGGTCACCCAGTCTCATAAGAAACAGTACACGTGTCCGCAAGACCAGTTAGCCTTGGTCTACACACATGCGATGGAGTTGTCAAACGCATCTAGCGACCTCGGAGAAACACATTTTGTTTTGCCGAGAAGTTACGCTGGCAAACAAAATTTTTTTTTTTATTTACCGGTAGAACATATGAATACAAATTCTGATTAATTTAAATTATACAATCCCTGCTGAACTACTCAGTATATTTTGTTCTAACATTTGCATTTGCAACAAAGTGTGTTTAAAATGAGTTAGGAAAATCAGGACCGGGCCGGGAAATTCTAAACTGAAACCCTTTGTTTTTGAAATTACTGAAATATACTAATGTATTCGTCTAGGAACTTACTTACAGAATTCAAATTTTATATAACATAATATGCTGAACTTCAACACGAACCCGGTTTTCAGTTTAGAAATCTCCGACACGGTTGGGGTTTTGCTACACATTTTATAACTACGCTACACACAAGCAGAATCAGGCCAGGAATTGAAAATTCCGTCATATAATATTACACATACAGAATGATTTTTTTTTTTTTTCTCTAAGAGGAAACTATATGATAATTAAAAATATTAATATTTTTTATTTGCATTTCGGGGGAAAGTGATCTTTGGAGAAAAAAAATTACTTTTAGGTTTCTTTTACGTATGACATACACAGCATTATTCTTATCATAAACAATACTGTTGTATCTACTTATCATGATGGAACTATTTTCGTCGGAACAATTTGTGTGAGTCACTGCCGACTATAGTAATATATCTTGAATAGATAGTAAGCACTGATCGAATATATTAAAAAGATGGAAGGTTCAACATTTGCCATCTCAGATTTGAATGTGGGTGGATTCGCTTAGAACACTTGTTTGCGCTGTGTGGTTTCACGCTGTTTTCCTGTTCGCCCTGAGTGGTTTTGCTACCCTGCAGTTTTCTTTAAACATACCACAATGTTAATTTAGGCCTAAGCAAAAGTTGTTTATATAATTAATGAACATGCACTTTAAATAAATTCAGTTTACCTATGAGTTGCAGATCTATACAGATAATTCTTATTATTAGCAATAGATGATCAAACTTTTCTTTCATTTTCTTTCATTTAAAACAAATATATTAGGTTTTGTTTGAATATGTTAATACATATGTATAGATTAAATTTATTCAACATTAAATAAACAGTCAAATCTCATTATCTCAAACTTGATGAAACAGAGGAAAAAATTCGAGATCCAATGATTCAAGATATTGAGAGTAAATTATTATTATGTGATTTGAATCGTTTGGTTCAACTATTTTTCTAGTTGGAAGCTACTTTAATTTAGTCACTAATGATTATGTTGCTGCTTGTTAATAAATTAAAAAATTCAAAAAAATTTGTTGAATTAATTCAAATCATGAGTTTTTATTCTATTGTATACACGAACAAAAAAAACCCCCAAAATATCAAACCTAAAAGATTTAGAACAGACCCAACCTGAAAGATTATGGAACCGTGACAGCCCAGGTTAAATACTTAGAGAAGAAGTCAGTAGAACTACCAAATCACTTTGACATATCCATGGTATTCGATATACCAAAGTTCTCAATACCGAAATTCAACTGTATGTGTATTAAACACTTTTCCCAGTGCACATCTGCAAGTAAAAAAAAACATTGGTGATTTCTCATAGTAAACTTTCAAAATCCACAAAAATTTAAAATTAATTTCAGGTTACAGGTATAATTGGGGTGAAACCACTTGACGATGCAGTGTTTTCCTTAAGAACCGGCAAATGGCCAAATTGACCGCTTCAATTGACAAAAATGCTGCTATGAAATAAAAATTTGTTGAAAAGTCCACAGAGATTTTGTTCATAAAACTCGTACCCTAGCCTGTTACAACTGATCTCTAACCATTTACTTTGATATATAGGGAAAACACTGAGACGATACTACTCTGGGCGAACATGTAATTGGGGCAAATCCAGTAAATGTTCAGATACCTAGCACTGAGACGAAAAGCAACATTAGTGACTATTTCCATGATTTCTAACTCTGTAAAGTTTAGGTAAAGTGTAGAGCCCACTAGAATGCATTTTATGTATGTCATGGAATAAGTCTTAGGACAGATCTCTCAAACTGCATAGATTTACAACAGAACTCTTTAAGCTATTGTTCAGGAATCTCCAAGTCAGTTTTCATTATTGAGATCTGATGTGTAAATTTTAGCAAGAAAAACTGTCTGTGGTCTAACCAATCATGACAAATTTTGAATAGAAGATTATGCCAAATCAATATTTGATATTTCAAGGGATAGAAGTTAATATGAATTCAGAAAAAATATATTTGTTGTTGTTTTTGTTATTTAACTTTAAATTTATGAATACATGTACAGTCTACAGATGTATAAACTTTTCTTTGTATCAAGAATGGAAGCATACAAGGTGATGTCAATCCCCCGCTCTGAGAAAAGACATTTCTCATTCATAAAAGTTCATGAAAGCAATATTTAAAAAAAATATATATGGTTTATATCATCTTTTACACATTTATTCTGTATTTCATTGTTTTACTATGTTATGAATAATTTATTTTTTAACTCATGTTTTTAAGATTTGTGAAAAAAAAGAAAAAGCTTCACATATGATTTGAACACTCTCCATAGCACAGGGTTTGTTACAAGACTGACCACATTAACCACTACGCTACTAAGTATATGCATCATTAATGTCTGTCAGTGTGATTTAAATGAACGGGTTTGTTGAAGCGTGCATTTTTTTCAGAAAAGTTTGATTTTCATATAGAATGGGTTCAGATTCCATTTTTTGGACAAATGAAAGAGATTTCACATTCACCTTTCTATCATTTAAGCACTAACCAAAAATGAAGACTTGACCCATTCATGTTCAAAATTCATTTTTTATGGCTTTAGTAAACCCATTTTCCACTAAATATGCTTAATTGTCAACTTTGAAAAAAGATTGTCAAATGATTAGTCATTCAGTAAAATGAAATAATAATATGTTTTGAAGATGGCATTACTGAGAACATGATTTTAGAAAAATATAACTTTTCCGTTAATTTTGAAAATTGAGAAACATATTATCTCTGAGCGGGGGATTGTCCGCACCTTATATGTACAGTAAAACTGAGTGATCATAATATGAAGGGGAAACTACCAAAAAAAAAAGCAATGACAGTGGCAGATCCAGAAATTTTGTAACGCGTGGGGGGGGGGGGGGGGAAAAGAAAGCAGGTGGGTCTGGTGGCTGTAGAGAAGCCCCCAGTGGGTCTAAGGCGAGGTCCTCTTTGGGGGTCCAGGGGCAAAGCCCCCCATAGCTGACAACATCTTACAAATAATAGATGTTTTCCCCTTGGTTTTAGGATTATGGACATATAAGTTTTACATAAAAAAAATTTCAAACAGGGGGGCGCTCACCCTGCGGGCTGGCCCTGGATCCGCCTTTGAATGATATGGATACATTGGTACTTTTATTGTTTAAACTTTTACTGAATTTATTCAAATTTGTGTTTCAGATCGACATCAAGGTCTCTCATTATGGGTCCCATTTCAGAACGCTGCATCAAATGTTACAAGTTTGTTCAAAGGTTTGTTGCATATTATTTTTTAATTTATCTTTCACATAGACAATTATAACAGTTAAACAATTGTCTATATTAGAGTCATCCTGAAGAAATTGTTTGTTTGGAATTGCAGCTTAGAGGGTTTCAGTCTCAGGGGGAATGAACTAATTTTTTCCAAATTGATGTAATTTAAAATCCAGACAGGTGATAAAGTCAAAATAAACTATGAACAAATTATTTTCCGACTTTTTCGTAAAGATATTTGCCATCAAGCCGGAATCCTGTTTTTGTGTATATCTAAAGAAAATCAAGTAAATTAAGACAGATGTTTCTGGGATGCATGTGTAAATTGCCAAGCATTGTTTAAATTAAAGAATTTCTTATTTATGGTCAAAAACATTTCCAGGAAGAGTTTTTTTAAACGAGTTTTTATACATTTCCAAACAAACAATGATTTTAGCTTTATTTTGGTTAAAGGATAAAATTTAGATTTGAACATTCCATGATGTATACAAGTCTACACACACATGATTTAAAGAAGTACTGCCAGTATGAAAAAGACCATTTCCATTTTTAACTGCATATGATATTTTGTAATGTTTGGAATTTCAAGTTGATATACTATGATGAAATAGTTGATGATATTCCTTTAGGGTCCATAAAATAGGTGAATTATAAATTAAGTACAATTTTCAGATGGTGTAGATTCACTGCATACTTGTGTGGACTTGGGTATACAAAAGGGAAAACAGCACAGAAACAGAGACATTGTGGCATGGGTGAAAAAGAAACGTCGTAACATTCGTAGAGAGGATCTTTTAGCTTTCTTGTGCGGTAAAAATCCCCCCGCCAGAAATAGACATGCTTCCTCCATGGTGAGACACTCCCAGTCGTCGAGGTTGTCTGTCGAGAGGACACATTCACCTCGTTTACAGGGGGCCGAAAATCTGTCTTCAGGAACCGAACCAGATCTACAGGCATTCAGAGAAGCCATTGCACTCCAAGGTTGGGATCATTTTCTCTATTTATACTTTATTAAAATTTGAAAGCAAGAAAAAAATGTACATCATTAATAATACAGTAAAGCTCTCTTTGGATTTTTTCTTGTTTTTCTCCTTAAGCTTGCTACTCCTGTTCAAATCTTGATGTAGGTACGTTAAAGGATGATCAAACTACTAGTACAAACTACTTCTACAAACTAGTACTAGTTTGGTATTTCTCTGACATCATTGGAGCTGAAAACATAGACCTCAATTCTAAATTCAAAAATCAAAATTATTAAACATAAATGTGTTTAATTCTACATAACATTTTCATAGATTTTGATAATAAATATCATACAATTACAGGTTTAAATGGTGCAATGTCCAACATCAGTGTGGGCTTCAGTATGCCCCCAGGTGCTACCGCCCCCTCCCAAATCGGAGCTCTACCCCGGAGTAGTGGCAACATGGAGGAACTAAACAGATTTATTCTAGATGAATTTTCTCGTAATTATGACTCTACAAGAAAGAGAACGTCCTCCCCAGATAATACACCCTTCGATTCACCATCCAGGAAGAAAAGCCGGCTGTTTTAAATGTTGATTATGGCTGTTCCTAACATCAATTTTCTGTAGATACCAGATTAGCTTATGTTAAAGAATCCAAGCTGAATGTGATATTTGCTATAAGAAAAAATTATCTGTATATCAACATGAATACTGTCAATAGGGAGAAAAGCATCATATTGTGAAAAGAAAAAATAGTATAATTACAATACATCTAAATATGTTTTTTTTTTTTTTTTTTAAATATTATAGCATTATCCATATTTATAATCCAGTTATAAAGTTCATGGTTTACTTTAAATTAGTTTATGATATATAGTCTGCCTAGATTTATGTTTAATGTAAAACAGAAAGACCATTTTTTATATGTATGCTGTAATGCACATGCAGATACATGTATATAACTGATGTTAACTTTGTTGCTTTGAACACATGTTGAAGGGGTTTATCAATTTGACAGAAAAAAGAAATCATATTACTTACTGTAAAATCCTACATTCTTTTAAGATTTTATTCCTACTACATTAAAAAAAAAACAGAAGTAAATGAATGTTTGTGGAACATAAATAAGATGAATCTTTAACAGTAAAATTTTAAAAACATTGTATTAGGAGAGATGAAAATAGAAACTGTATGAGTGTCTTAGTATGCACACATGTATTTACAAATGTGATTGAATGAGAATGTCATTTCTGTGTTTTTGCCATTTGTTTTACTTTGATTTCATACATTGATGTGTCTGTAACACTACAGAACAGTTAGTCCTCTTTACTGCTTACATGGGCATTATATCATTTAATGTTATCAATACATACATTTGATTCAAAGTTGCTAGTTTGCAATATATCATTGTTCTATTTTGAATGTCATATCTTCAGATTCTAAGGGATGCACATGCCAAACTTAAAATTAATTAAAAACAAATGTCTAAGATTAAATCTCACAGACTATTTTATTTGTCTTTAGTTTTAGAAAAGATAATTATAAGATTTTTATATTTTTCCCCTTAGATAAAGCATTCAGTTTAAGATTGCACCAAAGATGTATAAATATACTTGTGAAATTACAACATATTTTTTTTGTACGTTCTCAAAAAAATTTAAATGCTGTTGGGAATGACAATCTCATTGTAAATGTTTTGATGTGCAGGTCACTTAAGGAATAACCGATCGAAGATTTATCAGTATATGAAATTTTGACAGTTAATATTGATTAATAATTAGTAATAGTAGCTAAACCTGTTGTAATGAATTTATATTTAAATATCAGTATTTATTTTAGTTTGTGCAGTTTTGATTGTAAGTAAGAGGGTTGGCCCAACAGATAAAGAATACCAGTTTCTTGGGATTTTTTTTGGTAAAGTTCTGAGTTCTGACCATCAAAAAGTTTTGCAATATTTACAATGCTTTCAAGGAAATCCTGTTTCTATATATTAGTGGAATTTGACATTCAAATTCCAGGGAAGTAAATTTTAATCTTTCGTTAATAATGGGTAACTCTAAGTGTTCTTTTTGTGCTCAATATGGATAGTGTGTTAGTGTGTTGCAAGAGAAAAGAAGAAGAAAAAAACATTTATTTCCTTTGTACCATTTTCCTCTACGTAAGTGAATCAGCAAAACAACTTTTTTGATAGTAATTATAATCCTTAGAAAGAGAGAATGGGTGTGTGTGTGTTGCCATTTAAATGTTATTCTCTTGTTAAGGGCTTTCAGATTTGTTTCATGGAAATATGAAAGAAAATACAAAGTGAAAGGTTGACCATTACCAATTTGTGAGGAAAATGTGTTAACTGCTTTATGCATTAAAGTTGTTTATCACAAGATACAAATCTTTTGTTTCTATTTAGTTATAAAAAATGTACACAATTCACGAATGGATTGAAAATGAATATGTTCAAAAATGGGTGATTTGGGAAATAAAACAAATAAGTTCAATCTCATTATTGCATGTTGGGACTGAGTGAAAATTTGAAATATCCAGTGACTAAAGAATATCAAAGTTAAAACATCTATAAATAAACTTGTTGTGACTTCCAACTCACTTCCACATATCTATGGTATTCTGGATATTGGTGTTTGAGATACTACAGTTTAACTGTAATCACAATATTTGTTATATACTACGCGTTCAATTTCAACTAAATTTGGCATGCTGGTATTTCAAACATGTTTACTTATTTGAATTTCTTATTTGTCTTTGTACTTCTACTATATACAATATGAAAGTTGATCCAGTGTAGCATCCTTGGGTAAAGGAGAATTGAAATTGGTAAATTGAAGGACCAAGTCCCCTTCTAAGGGAAGATATTCAAGAAAAGACAAAAAGGTTGGGGTTTTTAAAAATCTTCTCAAGAACCTCTGGGCCAGAAAAGCTGAAACTTATGTTGAAGCATCCTTGGGTAGTGTAGATTCTTAATTGTTCAAATCATGATCCAAGGGGGTAGGATGGGGCCACAACAGGGACTCCAACTTTTACATTGAAATATATATGAAAAAACGTCTCAGGAAAGACCTGGGAAGAAAATTTGCAAGCATCCTAGTTGTAGTGTATATTTTAGATTGTCCAAATCATGACCCCTGGGGGGTTACAACAGGTAATACAAGAGGGGAAATCTGTTAAAGAACAGAATGGCCAAAATTACTCAGGTGAGCGATGTGGCCCATCTCTTGAAGAGGAGCAAGAACAAACTTGAAATCCTTTCACCTAAGGTAAGCTTTAAGTTTGTGTTTGGTTGAATTGGACCTGTGATTCCGTTGAAGTCTAAGTGCGCAAAAATAGAGACAAAGTTTATTAAGTCTTCAGCTAAATTATCACAGGTCTCGTAAATTATATATGAATAAATACATGAATTAATCAACTTCATTTTATGAAAATTATGGGGAAAAGAATATGCATATGAACAAATAATTAAAATAATAAATACAGTTTATATCATAATATGGCTATGAAATCTATGCACGAAGAAAACTACGAGGCGAACGATTAAGAAGACTGATATTAATAGTTTTCAGAAAAGCTTATCCGAGCTATATATAGGCCTGCTGTCCATCATTCATATTATATATGACATACATGACTTTGACCATTGTATCTACAATGTTATCTATATGCAGTAATATGTGTTATAACTATACTACAGTAGCTTGCTGCGTACATCAACATCCAGTGGGCTTCTTTCTTGTTACCTTTCTGCACCTACTTTTTTACACGCCTTTGTAAAAACAATCTTCCATGCTTCCAAGCCCCTTCACATTTTTTTTTACCTTTCAGGTATTTTAGTGTATATCCTCAAACTATGTTAAGCAGAGAAAAAAAGAGGATTTTAGATATCAACGTTCAGAATGAATAATGAAAAAAAATGTGTTTGTGAAACATTGATGCCTTCGTATGGTAGCTTTTTGTGGAGGTTCAATTAAGTTTCTCAAAAATCAAACTCCTAGGTCAAGGTTTAAATATGAAATATACTTACCCCCCAAAAGGACTTCTATATACTTGTGAAATATAAAAGCCAACAACTCAAACATTATAGTCAGGTCAAAGAATTTTTGACAGTGGGCCAAACTGCTAGGTCAAGGTCAAAGGAAAGTTAAAATTAAAGAAATACAGAAGTGAACTGTAAAAGCCATAGACCAATTAACCATTCAAAGTTATGGTAGATATTTGTTTTTCAAAAGTAATTAAAACTCAAGAGCAAGGTAACGCTGGTATCCAGTAGCATGTCTTGTACCAAATATTCCAAGGTTTTTGGCAAAGGTTAAAGTTTTCTCCAAACAGGGGCGTAGCAACAGAGGGCCAGGGGGGGGGGGGCTCCCAACCTTACTTATACTATAGGAAATGTTAATTGAAAGCCTGATTGGCCCCCCACTTTTAGTGATGTACCGCAAATGTAGTATTAGAAGTGTTACTAAAAGTAATTGACACTGACCCCCCCCCCCCCCCCCCCCCACCGAAATAGGATTTTCGACTTTGGGCAACTGTTTCCTTTTTTTTTCTTTTTCAGGTAAGTAAAAAAAAATTCTCTGGCTGCCCCCCCCCCCCCCCCCCCCCCCCCACCACTTTCAAAAACGATGCTACGCCACTGCCAAAGATAAAACCCCAAGGCCACTTTTAATAGATCAAAATAAAATGTTTATTATACAAATGTACTCGTACTAAATAAAAAAATTAAAGGTCTTTTCAGAATAAATACATATGTGAAGTCAGAATAAATACACATGTGAAGTATGAAAGCCCTAGTATCAGCTATTGAAATGTTATTGCCAAGGTTTAAGTTTTGATTTTTTTTTTTGTAAAAGTGGATCAAATTCCAAGATCGAGAGGTTTAATATGTTGGTACTCAAACCAAACAGACAGACGGACGGGAAGGACAAAAACGATGGACAAAATATAGTTTGGGCATTCAATACGATTTGGCACATCCATTGTATTCAGGAAATCGGTATTCGAGTGGCCAATGTTAAACTGTATATTATACCCTTGGAATCAAGGATTCCAGAGTTTATATTTTTTCCCTTGTACTTCCGGCTCTGTCTGTCTGCAAAATCTTTAACCTTGCCCATAACTTTGGATTGGTTGAGTTAAAGCTTTCATATTACGCAGGTGTACTACGACTTTTGACAAGACCTTACATATTTGACCTCTTGACGTTGAAGTTCGACATCATTTTGTCAAAATTTTAAAAAAGAGGCCCATGGGCCATATAGTTCATCTGAGTAACTTTGGCCATTTTGTTCTTTAACAGATTTCCCCCTTGTTATACCTACTGGGATCTCACCCTACCCCCAGGGCTCATGATTTGGACAATTAAGAATAAACATTACACTAAGATGCTTCCACATAACTTAAAGCTTTTCTGGCCCAGTGGTTCTGGAGAAAAAAAAATTAAAAGATTTTTTCCAAAATATTTAATGTAAAACTTTGATACTCTATTGTGGCCTTGCCTTACCTCCGGGGGTCATGATTTTAACAATTTAATATCTACACTATCCAAGGATGCTTCCACATAAGTTTCAGCTTTTCTGACCCAGTGGTTCTTGAGAAGAAAATTTTAAAAGTTTTCTCTATATATTTCAATGTAAAAATGGTTTTCTTAGCTACCCCGGAGATCATTATTTGAACAATTTAGAATACCCCGGTACACACTATTCAAGGATGCTTCCGCACAAGTTAAAGCTTTTCTGACCCAGTGGTTCTTGAGAAGATTTTAAAAGTTTTTTCATATATATTTCAACGTAAAAAATGTATTTCCTATTGTGGCCCCACTCTACCCTCGAGCGTTATGATTTGAAGAATTTTAAACCTTCACAACCCCAGGATGCTTACACATAACTTTCAGCTTTTCTGGCCCAGTGGTTCTTGAGAAGAGGATCTTTTAAGATTTTACCAATACATTTCAATGAAGAATTTGGAATTTCAATTATGCCTCCGCCCTACCACGTTTTAGAGATTGTTCATACCTAAGACATGTTCCTGCGCATGAAATCAACTGAGATATATTAACTCCGTAGGCAGGTGATGAAGGTATACTGCTGCATGAGTAAGGGAAGTTGATGATTGTAAAGTTAAAGTCGTGATGACTTTAACTTTACAATCGTCAACTTCCCTTACTTATCATAAAGCTTGGTTGTGAGATTACCATTAACGTCTTTTTCAAGTAAAATATCCAGATATGAAACAGATGTGTCAGACTCTGTGGTACTTTGTATTTTAAGCTCACCAGGATATATCATATCGACATAAGAGTGGAAATTACCATTGCTGATTGACATAACGTCGTCGACATATCTAAATGTCGAGGTGAAGGCCATAGCAAATGTTTTCTTTTCACGTATATGTAAAAGATTTTGGAAAACGTTTGCTTCAATTGAATACAAAAGAGGTCTGCTAATAACGGGGGACTGTTGGTACCCATGGGAATTTCAATAGACCTGATCTCCTAAAACCACATAGCTATTGTAAATGAGAAAACACCACATTTGATCCTTGGCCCTAGAGTTTGATATACCTTTCAGAAACTTTAACTTTCTCCATGAGCTGCTATACGGGGGTATCAGTGTAGAAGATCATGTTATTGGATACAGGTTATGATATATATGGAACGCCATAGCTGCCTTATGTGGCTATTTTATATTATGCTGTGGTTATTTTATATTATGCTGTGGTTATTTTATATGAAGATGGTGCTCTTTTATATTATGCTGTGGTTATTTCATATGAAGATGGTGCTCTTTTATATTATGCTGTGGTTATTTTATATGAAGATGGTGCTCTTTTATATTATGCTGTGCTTATTTTATATTATGCTGTGCTTATTATGTTCCCCAAACGAAGTTGGGGAACATATTGTTTTTACTCTGTTTCTTCTTATTATGTTCCCCAAACGAAGTTGGGGAACATATTGTTTTTACTCTGTTTCTTATTATTATTATTATTTTTCTTCTTCCTGGGTACTTATTTGTCCGGGAGTGATCTTGTAAACTACACATCCGACTTAGGTAAAATCTTTTTAGGGTTAGTAGGCATGTTATGTAGATTTGCGGAACGAAGGTCATTTTGCGCGCACGTGCTTGCAAGAGCGTGCACGTGCAACATGTGAAATGACCGATTTAATTGATATAGGCGTAACTTTTTACCTTTTTGAGGAAATGCTTTGAAACTCATAATATAAGGATATATTAGTAGCATAGACAATATGACATGGTCAAAATCGCAAGATCTCACGCGCATGCACGTGCACTTCGCTCTGATTGGCTGAAACTAAAGTCTCTATATCTTTCTTGTTTTTTGACGAAATCCCTTGAAATTTGGAACATAGCCATACATTAGGAT